CCTGCTTCAGTTCCCTATCCCTAGTGACTAAGCCGGCCTCGGCTGGGGAGGGCGGGGTATAAATCTGATAATAAAAATATAAAAAACAGCTGATGATCATTGCCCACTAAGAGACAATTTTGGAGATATCATCATCAATTCCCAAACTAACATATGACTTCATCTTTGGTCAGTGGTTGCCCTAGAATAAGGCCAAGTACAGCAGCTTAAAAAGGTAAAGGTTCCCTTGCTCGAAAGCCAGTCGAGTCCGACTCTAGGGTTGCGGTGCTCATCTCCGTTTCAAAGCCGAAGAGCCAGCACTGTCCGAAGACATTTCCGTGGTCATGTGGCCGGCATGACTAAACACCAAGGCGCACGGAACGCTGTTACCTTCCCACTGAAGCGGTACCTATTTATCTACTTGCAGTTTCTTGCTTTCGAACTGCTAGGTTGGCAGGAGCTGGAACTAGAGACGGGAGCTCACTCCGTCATGCGGCATACTCGGGTCTCGAACTGCTGAACTACTGACCTTCCACAGCCTGCAGTTCAGCGTCTTAACCACTTGAGCCACCGCAGCTCCTAGACAGCAGCTTAGCCATTAAATGTAAATTAGTAAAATAATTTTTAAAATGTATCATATTTATATTTAGGGGTGTTTTTTTTGCTGTTTCACATCGACCTTCCCTATGTATACCTTTACACCCACACTGTAAAATTTTTGGCTGCAGGCCTGTCTTTTAATATTATGTTTATTATGCATCACTAGTTCTGTAGCACTTGTGAGGGCACACAAACATTATCCTTATTTCAAGGAGAACATAATTTGAGAGCCAATTCCAGTAAATCTCTACTTAATAAGCTATGCTTACAACCAGGGACACCACTTCAGATTTAATTGCACAAGGGGAGATTTCAATAATGAGGAAAAATTCTCAGCAAGGTTTGAGTGCCTGCTCTTGGATATATTCAACAATTCCAGTCAGGGGTCATTTCGTAGAAAAAGAGGTGCAGGAGCTCATTAGCATAACTTATTAGCATAACTTATTTGTGTATGCCACACCCCCTGACATCACCGGAAGTATGTCAGAAGGCAACACCCACCGCTCAGGCTCCACTGGACTGTTTTGGATTGCAAGCTATTGGGGGGGGGGACATGCAAATCTGTCCTTGCAGAGGAGGGAGAGCTTGTACCTGAATAAAACTTGGTCTTAAAGGTGCCACTGGACTGTTTTGGACTGGGACTGGGGGGCCGGGGGGGGGGCTCTGCAACTTACCTGACTGCTTCTTGCTCTGACTGAGGGCTGCTGGGAGCAGGGGGTGGGGGCCTGTTGCATGTGCCCACCCCCTGGGCTCTTTACTGCCGGAGCTCCGCTCCTGTGCGCTCTTGCAGGAAATGACCCCTGATTCCAGTGTATTTTGAGAGCATGTGTGATCACTTTGTATTATAACAACCATCCCAATGTTATAAACACAGAAGTCACCTTTAAAAATAAAAAAGTGTAGGGATTTTTGATCTGGTATGTAGGACGTTCAGTAGTTGATAAGTTAGCCATGTGTAGAACCAGGGAGCTGGTCAATTTATGTAGGTATTCCTGGAAAGCTAACCACACGGTTAGTCTTGGAATATGGTATGGAATGTTTCCTAAGCATTACCTTGCTTACAGCCCTCTCTATTTCTTCTCGAAACTATCATTGATTTCAGTGGGATCAAGTACATAATATACTGTATGCCTAAAATTGCAGCCTTAATGACAGTTAGATGGTACACAAGAATTAGTGTCTATTCCAGACACACTCTCCTTCCCTCCCTCTCTCCCTCTCTCCCTGGCATAATTGTGTGCCACACAACATTCGTTTGCTAAATAGTCTTTACCAAGACTGCCATTCTTCCCCAGGGCAGTGTCCCAGCAAATCTGTAATCTTCTGCTTCTATTTAGCATTTTTATTTAGCTATACACACTCCTCCAGCCAGCACAGATAGTTGTGGTTTTTTTTAATGGCAGACATTGGCTGATTCTGCATTGGCTTTTCCCTCTGTTGTTTCACAAAACCTACATTGGAACAGAAATTGCCCTCTGCACTGCACGCTACTTTCACTTCCTTTGATCACCAGATTTTATGGTAGCCTCCACATTCCATGCTGCTTTCACTTCCTTTGATCATTGGATTTTATGGTACCTTCTGCATAGATTTATGGTCATTTTATGGCAGTTCAGGGGTAACTTTGCAGTCAGTACGGTGTTGTCTCAGTTGAGAAATGTGGAGCGAATGCTAGATGCAGAATCACCCAAGGTGGAGTTGCTGTAGAAAGAAGGAGCTTCCATTGCTGCCTTTGGCTCGGTGGCTGGGCATATAGGCAATGGTGACCCAATAAACATTATATACATAGACTTTAAAAAGGCTTTTGACAACATATCTCACCAAGACTCCTGAGTAAACCATCATCATGGTTGTAATGCTCAGTTATAGTTGCATCTTGTTCTTTAAAACTGTATTACTGTTAAGAGAAAGATAACAGCCCTGTGTGCTGGTTAATTTGATCAATTGTTAACAGGTGATGTTTGTCAAGGATGAAGTCTTTGCATGTTGGTTGGAAAAGGTCATGTGTATTCAATTGTTAGCTCGTTAGTGAGGAGATAGTGGATAAAATTAGTAGGTAGAAGGCTAGGTTTTTTTAATCTTGATCTCTCTGGATGATGGAGGATTCGCCCACGGCTGAACCAGACTATCAGGAAGAGAAATTGATGTGTGCCCAGCAAGACTGAAAATTTTACTTCCCTCCTGTCTGAGACTTTCTCTGGAGCAAGAACCTGCTTTTAAAGACAAAGTGAGATAATTTAAGTGGCTGGGTTCTTTTTTAAGTTTTTTTGTTTTGGACTATTGCAAGTGCTGAGGTTTAGTCTTTTGTAAAATAAATTGTCTCTTTTTAAATATTTTTTATTTTCAATATAAAAACCATGTGTTGACATACAACTTGTAATATTATTACAATATTAAGGAATTCAAATATCAACACTAAACAAACAAACTCACAGAACATAATGATATCAACAATCCAATAATTACAAGATCCATTCTTTACGAATAAAGTTATAATACTGTGATTTCTGTGTGGGTGTTATTTGTTCTAAAACATATTCCAATTTTTCCAATATCACCCTCCACCTTCCATAAAATGCTTGGGAGTTGCGGGAAGGGTCTGAATTTGCCAATTTATCTGAGATTTTATCCATTAGGAGATGTTCCCATACCTTGGAAGGGTCTGAATTTGCTAATTTATCTGAGATTTTATCCATTAGCAGATGTTCCCATACCTTGGAGTACCATGTAGCAATATATAGAGGGGAATTACTCTTCCAGCTCTGTGCAATTGTTATTTTTGCAGCTGAAAGCAATAAAGTTAATAATTCCTTGCTATATTGAGGAATTGAGATATCTTTCCAGTAGTTCAAAAGTATAATTTTGGGTTTTTCTGGAATATCATAGCCAGTTAAAAACTTAATTTGGGCTATGATATTTTGCCAGAATGTTTTGATCACTGTGCACCCCTACCAGCAATGGATATATGAGCCTATACCTCCACACTGTTTCCAACAATAGGGTGATAATTTACTATTCATTTTATGTAGCTTCAAAGGTGTCAAATACCACCTGGTGAGTATTTTATAATTTTGTTGTTCTACGTTTATGGATTTAGTCGTAAATGCATATGCCGACCATACCACCTCTCAAAAAGATTCATCTACTTCTGTTTCTAAGTCTGCATTCCAAGATGACACATATGAAGGTAAGTTTGATGGAGTAGGATCTATAAGTATCTTATATATTTTGGAAATTAAGCCTCTACTGGTGCCATCAGACAATAATAAAAGTTTTTCAAATTCTGTAGGCGGTCTAGTACATGCTTGTCCCAATTTGGGTGTACTGAATAAATGCTGTATTTGAAAATATTCAAACCAGGGGAGTATAGCCGCCCTGAGCATTCAGGAAGGGTGGGATATAAATCCAAATAAATAAATAGAAGAAGCCTTTATATCTAGCTTTGTTTTTTCTAATAGATGTTTCTTACCAATTAAATCATATAATAGAGTTAAATGTGCTTTTTTCCATAATTTAAAAGAATTAGATTTTTGTGCAGGAGGAAACCATGTTTGGTCTATAAAAGTAGATGCTAAGGAAATATCTGGTGCTAAGTAATTTCGTTTTAAGTTTCCAAGTTTTGAATAAGGCCTGCATTAGAAGGTGATTTGGTATTAAATGTGATCTTTCCGAGGTATGTGCCCAAAATGTTGCCAAATATTGCTTTGAGTTCAAAAAGAATTCTTCTAAACCAACCCACTCTCCTTTTCCTATGCTGAACCAATCAGTTGTTCCGTATCCGGTTCTAACTGTCGCTTCTTGGCCCTTATACAGGTTTCTCAAGAGACATGTGAGGTGGTCTGGTACTCCCATCTCTTTAAGGACCTGCCATAGTTTGTTGTGATCCACACAGTCAAAGGCTTTAGCATAGTCAATGAAGCAGAAGTAGATATTTTTCTGGTACTCTCTTGCTTTAAAGTAGGAAGGTTGAATCGGAAGTGGTAATGCGCAAAAGAGGTATAAAAGTTTGGGGAAAACTACAGATTTAATTGAGACAATTTTTTCTAGCCAAGTTAAATTTTCTGTATGCCATCTTTCTAATAGTACCTTAGTTGTATTCATGGTATCGATATAGTTGAATTTAAATAATTCATTTAGGTTTAAAGGTATTTTAATACCTAAATAAGGCCAAGATGTTTTGACCCATTGATAACAATAATGAGAATATAATTCTGAACATCTTTTCCTATATTAATTGGATATATTAGGATTGGTTAACTTGGAGTCCTGCGATCGTTGCAAATTTTGCTAGTAAAGTTTCAATTAGTGGGAGTGATGATTATGGTCATGAAACAGTCATATGCAAAAAGGCTGATCTCATATTTAATTTGATTAACTGTTATACCGGTAATTTTATCTGCTTGCCTAATTTTGTTTGCTAGGGGTTCTATGGCTATGGCAAAAAGTAGAGGAGACAAAGGGCATCCCTGCTGTGTGCCTCTGGTAAGTATAAAATCTGATTATATTGATTTGTTAATTGCTATATGTGCTTCTGGTGAGTCATAAAGTGTGTGTATTATTCTTTGAAAATTAGAGCCAAAACCCATTTCTCTGATCACTTTTTTTAAAAATTGGGGTTCTACCTTATCGAATGCTTTTTCTATATCAAGGGTCAATAGACTGATATCAGTTAAATATTTTTTACTATATTGTATAATTCCTAAAGTTTTCTAATGTTATCAGTAATATCCCTGGAGGGAATAAAACCTGTTTGGTTCAAGTGGATATAATTACCTATAAATTTATTTCGCCGATTGGTTAAAATAGTTGTAAATATTTTGTAATCACTATTTAATAATGAAATTGGTCTAAACGCTTGGGGTGTTATACTATCTTTTCCCTAGATAACAATAATTTTTGCTTGTGTCCATGATTCCAGCATCTTGCTCGAATGAAGGATATAATTACAAGTTTCTTGGAAGGGGCCTATTAATTGTTTGGCAATTTTTAAATAAAATTCTGGAGGATAACCATCCCATCCTGGGGCTTTGTTAATTTTGATTTGTTTTATTGCTTCCGCAATCTCTTGACTAGTTATTGGTTCTTCCATGCTAATACTATGTGTATGGGATAATTTGTGCTGTATAGCATTAGTTTTTTTTAAAAAATTGTATTTCTTTTGATGTAGGATATTCAGTGCTATAAAGTTTTTGATAATTGTCACGGTAGAGCCAGGGAGGCAGGCAGACAGGGGGAGTCACAATACAAGTCCAAAGGTCAGCCGGGAGAGCAGTCAGCAGAGCATTAAACAAGTCCCAAAACACCAGACAAAGCCGTAGTCAGTTACCAGAGGTCAGAGTACAGGGAGCAAAGCCGAGGGCGTGATCAGGTTCAAAGCTGGAAGTCAGGAGCTAGAGCAGTCCAAACAGAAGCCGAGTCCAAAAGCCACAGAGTCAAACAGGAATCAAGGTGCAGAGCTTCTGGTTCTATGAATGAGGTTGCCAGCACAAATTGCTCATGGCCAGAGGCCCTACTAAATAGTGCTCTGGCCCATTAACTCATTAGCACCTTTGTGCGAGGTCCTGGCTGCTGTTAAAACTCAGGGCTCAAGGATCTCCGCCCTCTTGAACGTACTTCTTTTCGTCGGCTAGCCAGCTCCTAACGTCTCTGATCCCTAAGCCTACTTACAGGTGGGGGAGATGCAGGTGGTGAGCTGCTTATGGCCTGCTCAATCCGAGGTGCAAACCGTCCTGTAGTTGACTCAGATTGCTGTGTATCCTCCTTAGTACTGACAGTAGGTGCAGATCCTGATGCTTCTTCAGTTCTTAAAGGCACTGAATCCTCCCCTCTTAGGCTGTCAGGAGCTGGCTCTGGGGCTGAGTCAAGGGCAGGCATGACAATAATATTGTAAAAATGTGGAAAGGATTTCCTTAGTTGAAGTAATGGGGTTTCCTTTAGCATCTAGTATCGAGGTAATATTTCTATTGGTTTGTTGTTTTTTTAAGTTTCCAAGCTATCATTTTTAAAGTTCTCGGGTGACGAAACAAATATTTATGTTTGAGGTACAATAAATTTTTCTGTACCTGAGTTGTTTCCAAAGCTTCCAATTTCTTCCTCTCGAGGAGTAATTGTTGTTCGTAGGTTTTTTTAACCTGTTGCTTTGTGTTTGCTTTCTAATTGTTTGATTTTAATCAAGATTTCTTGTCTTAACAGATTTCTCTTTTTGTTATGGGCTGAGGAAATGGATATGATCTTTCCTCTAACCATGGCTTTCATTGCATCCCATACGACATCTACTGAGACTCCACAAGAGGAATTCAATTCGAAATAATCTTTGATTGTTTGTTCTATGTCCTCAGAAGCCATCTGACTAAATAAAATATTTTTATTGAGTGACTATGTACAAGTACCTTTTTCTTCAGTATCAAAAATTAATAAACATTCAATCCATGCATGGACTGAAAGGGTCCTTAAGCCAGTTTCTGATTGTTGTACCTGATTAACCAAGGGTTTAGAAACAACGATTAAATCTGTTCTAGTAAAAACTTCATGTCTAGGGGAAAAATAAGTATAATCTCGAACTCCTGGATGATGTGTTCTCCACACATCACACAGTCATACCGGTCTAATAATGATTGAAAAGCTGAGGATTTATTAATATTTTTTGGGTTATGTTTATTTTTTTTCTTCTTTGGGTCAATTTTATATGATCTGTCCCAAAAAGTATCTGGTGTACAATTAAAATCACCTCCTATGAGGGTATGGCCTTCTTGAAAAGTTTCTAAACGGGCTAATGATTCACTTATAAATTGTTCCTGGCCTGTGTTTGGGGCATAAATCGATGCTAATGTAATTAAAATATTATTTAAGAGTCCTTTGATAAAAATATAACTGCCTTTTGGGTCTATAATTTGGGCTTGTTTTTGAAACTGGATATTTTTAGATAATAGTATGGCTACGCCTCTTGAACTAGAGGAGCTGGTCGCCTGGTATTGTGAAACAAACCAATCTGATTTTAGAAGTAATTTGTTGAAGGTTAGTGGACACCTTCCGTGTCCTTGCGTTTCCTGCTTTACCCGTGGCACTTTTGTCTGTGATTAGGATAACAATGGAGGAAGTTGAGATGATTTTTTGTAGGAAGGGTGGCTCCTACAAATACTGACTTAAATTGTAAAGGCTTAATCTCCCATTTTCAAACTGTACTGCATAATGTTTATGACCTTTAGGGTTTTTTTAACAGTACCTGAAGTATTTAAAATAGTTTACCTTGAACGTTGTTATTATTATGCTTTCAATCATCATCATAATGTAAAAAAGATATCATAATGTTAATCCTAAGCATTGCTTTCATGCACATGTTGGATTTTCTTCTAATATCTAAAAATAATAAAGTATGGGTTAATTGCACCAAATTAGAAATTTAATCTAAAAATTCCTTTACGTCATAAGTAAAATAATTAAATCAACAACACCTTTTTCATAATTATATCATTATTATTACCAAAACAATTAGCTATTTCAACCCAAACTATTTTTAATATTATATTAAAGTAAGATTGGTTAACTTCACCATAATACTAATATATGGATATTTCCATATTACATCCAAATTTAGTAAAGGAAGAATAAAAGAAGAAAACAGTATAAAACTTAATAATATATCTTTGAAAAGAAGAAACAGGTTAACTTCACCTCTTATCAGAATTGAAAATGAATAAAAAGTATCATCTTGGCACCAAATTGTAAGGTAAGATATAGTAACTGCATTCCATTCAAAACTATTCACTTTCTAATTGAAGCAATAATAAATGTTATTTGTGTAAGAAAATATATAAAACAAAAGAAAGAAAAAGGAAGCCTTATACTTTAAATAACATCAGTTTTCAAAGTCATGGTTTGGTGTTCTGTTTGAAATGACTCCAACGCTGTAAATTATCCCCGTTTTTCAGATCCGATGGTTCAGGTGATGGCAATTTTGGTGGGGCGAAGTCTATGTTCAGTGCTTTCAGTAGAGTGTAGCCGCTTGGTAAATCAAAAGCAAAAAGACGTTGGCCTTGATGAATCACGAGTATTTTGGTAGGAGAGAACCATCGAAAGCGAATGTTTTGGTCCGATAGTGCTTGCGTAATTGGTTTTAGGGTTCTTCTATGAGTTAGGGTCTCAACGGAAAGGTCTAATAAAACTAATACCCGGGAGTTCTGATAGTGAAGACCACCTTCTGCTCTAGATTTTGGTAAAATTAAGTCACGTGTATGACTATCGGGAAAGGAAGCCACTATGTCCCGTGTAAAGCATTCCGATTGCCTTGCTGTTGAGCCCAGACAGAAGGTCTTATCAATTAAAGGGCGATGTTATCTTCAAGTTCTAGTGTTTTAGAAAGCCATGTGGCTAGAAAGATTTTTAGTTCTGACTCACCTTCCGCGTTTTCAGGTAGGCCTCTGAATTTTAAGTTCTGTTCTTTGTGTTTATTTTCTAGTGCCACAATTTCCCCCCTTGCCCAGTCTTTGGACTTTTGAAGTTGTTGTACGTCCTCTTGCACCGCCATTACGCCTTCCAGTGCAGACTCTGCTGCTTGAGAAACTTCTGCCAGAGTTTCTGCTATCGTTTTAAGTTCGTCGGTGAGGGGTTTTATGGCTATATTGATCTGTTTCGCAATATTGTCCTCAAGTTTTCGTATTGTTGAGAAGAAATCAAATTTAGTGAGAACCGCGCCGTCATCTTTGAGCTCCGTCGTTGTCACATCCGCCATTTTGTGTGCTGTTGCTGCTGCGTCGCCTGTAGATTGCTTACCATCACCTTTTGTGAGGAATTTAGTCATTTGTTGAGGGTTAATGGACTCCTTCCATGTCCTTGTATTTCCTGCTTTACCCATGGCATTTTTGTCTGTGATTAGGGTGCCGATGGAGGGAGTTGAGATGATTTTTTGTAGGAAGGGTGGGAGAAACGATCCTCTATGCGACCGCCATTCACGGCTGCCAAGCCATGCCCCCATGCTGGTTATACTACCATATTTGATTGGGCAGACCTTGATTGGGCAGACCCAAATGAACCAGACTTACCACTGCTTCTCGCTATTATTCTAAAGGACCAGCAGGCTTAGGCTGTATACCTGGCTTGAGAGAGGATGACATAGACCACAGTAACTAAGGGATCATTTGGCTATATACCAAAGTTTTTAGGCAACTTTGGAATGAACTCTGAAACTTGGGACTGAGTTCTCCCAGGTTAGAGGGGAACAGCCAATACATTCAAGGAATCACAATGAACGCATGAAGCTGCCTTATACTGAATCAGATCCTTGGTCTATCAAAGCCAGTATTGTCTACTCAGACCAGCAGCGGCTCTCCAGGGTCTCAGGCTGAGGTCTTTCACATCACCTCCTACCTGATCCTTTTAACTGGAGAAATGCTGGGGACTGAACCTGGGACCTTCTGCATGTCAAGCAGAAGCTCTGCCAGTGAGCCACAACCCCTCCCCAATAATGCCAGACAGATACACAGAAACAGCACCAAATACAAGAAAGCCCCTTTTACAACGCAAATATTCCAAGTGCCCACAGATCCTGTACAATCCATATTGCTCAAGAAGCAAAAGGCAGGGTTCTAAAGGCGTGGAGTGCAAATGGGAGCACCAAGGCTTACCTGTCATTCAAATAATTCAAGGACAAACATCCATTGTCCTGAAAGAGCTGGTTGAAAAGCCCCACCTGTGGAAACTATCTCGAAACTCTATAAATCTTGACAACTTTAGACCTACTCGAACTGCCTGTTTGTCTTCCCAGAAAAAGTATGTGGTGCTGAATTCAAGCCCAAAATCCTGACTGGACTGGTGAAGGATCTGACGGTTGGAAAGGTAAAGAAGGACTGGAGATACAGGCCTTCTCAAGGGTGAACTTTGGTCTGTGGCTTCTCTTCCCTTGCCCTTCTTTCCCCCTATTCAAGGCCAACGCTTCGTGGCAGGCATATACAAAAGAGCTCCTTCCATAATGTTTCCATTTAGTTTCTAGCACAGTGTTTGAAATGTCCAAGAGCTTCTTGTGGCACCAGACCCACATTATGGCCACATTTTGCATCTGATTAAATCCCGTTTACCCTTTCCTTCCCCCCCCTCCCCTAAGAGTTCTTCTTTCTTGCTCGCCCCTATTTCCAATTTTTCCTTCTTTCCTCTTTGCTTTCATGAGGAGCCAACTTAACACAGTATCAGCAGAATCTCAGATGCAACTGTGGCTTCCACCAGAGTGAATTGATTTAGAAGCGAGGCTCAGTTTTAAAGATGGGGTTTGCAGTGTGTCCGTATGACTAATAAGGGTTTGGAAGACAGTGAGGCACACCAGAAGGCTAACCTCATCACTCCCCATCCATAGCGAGTGGGCTCTGCTGTGATCTCGTGCCAGAGCCCTCGGCCTGGCACCATCTCTGTGAGCAAAGAGGAAAAGAAAGCTGACCTTGGTTTGAAAGGTTTACATCTGTTGACACAAGGGGGATGTTCAGTGCATTGACAAGTGCGGGACTGGAACCCTGAATAGGCCACCATGGACAGTCGAGACAAATGTGAGTCATAAGGACATCAGAAGAGCTCCACTGGATCAGACACAGTGTCCATCTTTTCCAACATGTGGGCAGCCAGAGGCCTCCGGGATACTCACCAGCACAAAGGCAACAACCTGCTTGCTTCCTAGGAACTGCCTCTGAACATGGACGCTCCATTTCACAGTTATGGCCAATACATTAATGCCTTTGTCCCTGAAGTTGCCGAAACTTTAAAAAAAAAAAAATCACTATCCAAGCTACAAGTTGTGGCCCTGAGTCCTATAAATGAGCTAAGTGCTATTGGTCACCCTGACTGACTGTCCACCAGTTTCCTTTCCTTCCTTTCAACCCTAGAAGCTCATAGATATATAACCTTGAGCGGCAGAAAATGTCTAGATGCTCTGTTTGGAACCAAGAGTTAAAAGGACTGATAACATATTTAGCCACACACCCATGTCATTTTCGGGTCATGATCTCTGAGCAAGAAGAGAACAGTTTCCGGAGAGGGGTAAGTGGTTGCTTAACAGGGCCATAACGCAGTGGTTCCAGAGAGTCACAAACGGAGGGCACTTGAACAAAGTGTGGAAAGGTGTATCGATCATTTACAGGCCACAGGGCCAGATTCTGGAAGACTATAGGTCCACCTGTTTCATTGGGCACGCTGTTCCTACTGGAGGACCTGCCATGTGCATAAAATGGGCACCAGCCATCAAGACAAGCCCACATTCACACAGAGAGCACGCATAGGCTGGGGAACAGGGAGTCCTCCACTGATCCTGTTCCCCTTACTTATGTTGACTTTGTGCACTTCCTCGACCACCAGAGAAGA